TTTGCTTCATTTTTTTGGCGTTGCTTACTAGGTGTATTGATTTACTGAAAAATTTCGTTCCTTTTTTACCTTGCTAAGTTCTTCAGTGGGAAGTACGTTTATGGCAAAAACGGCTGAAGTAGAAAACTTCCATTTCTTATGCATGTGTATGCGCCTACGTGTTCGCACTTTTTGTCACCCACTTTCAACCCGATAAACGGAAAAGTTAAAAGGCTGAAACTTCGAGAGTATGTGTCTACATAATGTGCGACCCTCGCGTTTTGATATTATCACCAACGTACGTCTAGGTGTCGAGTACGGACGGCATAAAAAAATAAGCAAATTTTCGATGGGAGGGCGATCTCGGGAACCAGAAATGATAAACAGTTGGAACTTTGCAGGGATATTTTTCGCGCATGTGTGAGATAAAAGTTTTAAATTGAGCCCTTAGATAAGCATGTTTCTCTTATACAGGCGCCTGAAAGTCTTGTCAGAAAAACTGCTGACTCTGCAGCCAGAAAAGCTAAAAAGCTGGAATATTGAGAGCATATTCCCCATCCAAATAAAACTCGAAGATTTCATATGCGGTCTCCAGGTATGTGTGGCCCTTACTCACGGACACCTGGAAGTTTTGGCGGGAAAATTGCTCAGCGAACAGCTAGGTTATTTTCAAAGAACGACCGTTATATGGAAATCATTCATTTTATTCATTTCTTATGCACGAAATTTGCAATGATTTACGATAGTGAGCATAAAAGGTAATCGTAATGCAACAATCATTCATGCAGTGAACGAACTGGGTACTTCAGGTCTTGTGCAAAAACATATGCTCGCACCGGCAAGCCTAGTACACTTCGGCTTAATAAGCGACGGTACTCGGCCATCAATCTAAAACAATCGATATGACATCACGAAGCAAATTCAGTTTCTAGCACTTTTTTGTCAGGCGATTTTGTTGGCTCTCTCAGTTTTGACTGGTTCGCTGGACGCACGCCGTTTCATCCAAGCGGTCAATACCACCACTCAATTAATGCAACGAATTTTAAGAGGCTTGATTGCAGGTTTGGTTCACCGGGATCATTAAGAATACCAGCGCCGGTACATCCCTTGTCAGAGCCAGGAATGGGATGGACTGAAGGACTGCCGGTGGCTGCGCCATCAGGCTCAGGGATTTCGGGATCGGGGGTGCCTCCAACAAACTTGTCACTGGGATCAGGAAGGGCAGCACCATCGGCATATTCTCAGTTAGAGTCAGGAATGCAAGGGAGTGAAAGACTACCGGTGGCTGCACCATCAGATTCAGGGACCTGGGGAACGTCGATAGAGGCGTTATCGGGATCAGTAGGAGTACCAGGACCGGTACATCTCCCGTTAGGGCCAGAAATGGGATGGACTGAAGGACTGTCGGTGGCTGCGCCATCAGGCTCAGGGATCTCGGGATCGGGGGTCCCTCCAACAGACTTGTCACTGGGATCAGGAAGGGCAGCACTATCGGCATATTCTCAATTAGAGTCAGGAATGCGAGGGAGTGAAAGACTACCGGTGGCTGCACCATCAGATTCAGGGACCTGGGGGACGTCGATAGAGGCGTTATCGGGATCAGTAGGAGTACCAGGACCGGTACATCCCCCGTTAGGGCCAGGTGTGGGAAGGGCTGAAGGGCTGCAGGTGGCTGTGCCATTAGGCTCAGGGGCTTCGGGATGGGAGGCGTCTCCGACAGACTTGTCACCGGGATCAGGAAGGGCGACACCATATTCTCTGTTAGAATCAGGGATGCAAGGGAGTGAAAGACTACCGGTGGCTGCGCCATCAGGTTCAGGGAACTGGGGAGCGCCGATAGAGGCGCTGTCGGGATCAGTAGGAGTACCAGGACCAGTACATCCCCCGTTAGGGCCAGGTGTGGGAAGGGCTGAAGGGCTGCAGGTGGCTGTGCCATTAGGCTCAGGGGCCTCGGGATGGGAGGCGTCTCCGACAGACTTGTCACCGGGATCAGGAAGAGCAACACCATATTCTCTGTTAGAATCAGGGATGCAAGGGAGTGAAAGACTACCGGTGACTGCGCCATCAGGTTCAGGGACCTGGGGGCCGCCGATAGAGGCGTTACCGGGATCAGTAGGAGTACCAGGACCGGTACATCCCCCGTTAGGACCAGATGTGGGAAGGGCTGAAGGGCTGCAGGTAGCTGTGCCATTAGGCTCAGGGGACTCGGGATGGGAGGCGTCTCCGACAGACTTGTCACCGGGATCAGGAAGGGCAACACCATATTCCCTGTTAGAGCCAGGGATGCAAGGGAGTGAAAGGCTACCGGTGGCTGCACCATCAGGTTCAGGGACCTGGGGACCGCCGATAGAGGCGTTATGGGGATCAGAAGGAGCACCAGCGCCGGTACATCCCTTGCCAGGGCCAGGAATGGGATGGACTGAAGGACTGCCGGTGACTGCACCGTCAGGCTCGGGGATCTCGGGATCGGGGGTGCCTCCAACAGACTTGTCACTGGGATCAGGAAGGGCAGCACCATGGCCATATTCTCAGTCAGAGTCAGGAATGCAAGAGAGTGAAAGACTACCGGTGGCTGCACCATCAGGTTCGGGTACCTGGGAACCGCCGATAGAGGCGTTATGGGGATCAGTTGGAGTACCAGGACCGGTACAACCCCCGTTAGGACCAGATATGGGAGGGGCTGAAGGACTGCAGGTGGCTGCGCCATCAGGCTCAGGGATCTCGGGATCGGGGGTGCCTCCAACAGACTTATCACTGGGATCAGGAAGGGCAGTACCATGGCCATATTCTCAGTCAGAGTCAGGAATGCAATAGAGTGAAAGACTACCGGTGGCTGCACCATCAGGTTCGGGTACCTGGGAACCGCCGATAGAGGCGTTATGGGGATCAGTTGGAGTACCAGGACCGGTACAACCCCCGTTAGGACCAGATATGGGAGGGGCTGAAGGACTGCAGGTGGCTGCGCCATCAGGCTCAGGGATCTCGGGATCGGGGGTGCCTCCAACAGACTTGTCACTGGGATCAGGAAGGGCAGCACCATGGCCATATTCTCAGTCAGAGTCAGGAATGCAAGAGAGTGAAAGACTACCGGTGGCTGCACCATCAGGTTCGGGTACCTGGGAACCGCCGATAGAGGCGTTATGGGGATCAGTTGGAGTACCAGGACCGGTACAACCCCCGTTAGGACCAGATATGGGAGGGGCTGAAGGACTGCAGGTGGCTGCGCCATCAGGCTCAGGGATCTCGGGATTGGGGGTGCCTCCAACAGACTTGTCACTGGGATCAGGAAGGGCAGCACCATGGGCATATTCTCAGTCAGAGTCAGGAATGCAAGGGAGTGAAAGATTACCGGTGGCTGCACCATCAGGTCCAGGGACATGGGGACCGCCGATAGAGGCATTATCGGGATCAGTAGGAGTACCAGGACCGGTACATCTCCCGTTAGGGCCAGGTATGGGAGGGGTTGTAGGACTGCAAGTGGCTGCGCCATCAGGCTCAGGGATCTCGGAATCGGGGGTGCTTCCAACAGACGTGTTACTGGGATCAGGAAGGGCAGCACCATCGGCATATTCTCAGTTGGCATATTCTCAGCAAGGGAGTGAAAGACTATCGGTGGCTGCACCATCGGGTTCAGGGACCTGGGGAGCGCCGATAGAGGCGTTATCGGGATCAGTAGGAGTACCAGGACCGGTACATCCCCAGTTAGGGCCAGGTATGGGAGGGGGTGAAGGACTGCAGATGACTGTGCCATCAGGCTCAGGGATCTCGGGATCAGGGATGCTTCCAACAGGCTTGTCACTGGGATCAGGAAGGGCAGCACCATCGGCATATTCTCAGTTAGAGTCAGGAATGCAAGGGAGTGAAAGACTACCGGTGGCTGC